TCGTTTTCGTTTTCGTTTTCGTTTTCGTTTTCGTTTTCGTTTTCGTTTTCGTTTTCGTTTTCGTTTTCGTTTTCGTTTTCGTTTTCGTTTTCGTTTTCGTTTTCGTTTTCGTTTTCGTTTTCGTTTTCGTTTTCGTTTTCGTTTTCGTTTTCGTTTTCGTTTTCGTTTTCGTTTTCGTTTTCGTTTTCGTTTTCGTTTTCGTTTTCGTTTTCGTTTTCGTTTTCGTTTTCGTTTTCGTTTTCGTTTTCGTTTTCGTTTTCGTTTTCGTTTTCGTTTTCGTTTTCGTTTTCGTTTTCGTTTTCGTTTTCGTTTTCGTTTTCGTTTTCGTTTTCGTTTTCGTTTTCGTTTTCGTTTTCGTTTTCGTTTTCGTTTTCGTTTTCGTTTTCGTTTTCGTTTTCGTTTTCGTTTTCGTTTTCGTTTTCGTTTTCGTTTTCGTTTTCGTTTTCGTTTTCGTTTTCGTTTTCGTTTTCGTTTTCGTTTTCGTTTTCGTTTTCGTTTTCGTTTTCGTTTTCGTTTTCGTTTTCGTTTTCGTTTTCGTTTTCGTTTTCGTTTTCGTTTTCGTTTTCGTTTTCGTTTTCGTTTTCGTTTTCGTTTTCGTTTTCGTTTTCGTTTTCGTTTTCGTTTTCGTTTTCGTTTTCGTTTTCGTTTTCGTTTTCGTTTTCGTTTTCGTTTTCGTTTTCGTTTTCGTTTTCGTTTTCGTTTTCGTTTTCGTTTTCGTTTTCGTTTTCGTTTTCGTTTTCGTTTTCGTTTTCGTTTTCGTTTTCGTTTTCGTTTTCGTTTTCGTTTTCGTTTTCGTTTTCGTTTTCGTTTTCGTTTTCGTTTTCGTTTTCGTTTTCGTTTTCGTTTTCGTTTTCGTTTTCGTTTTCGTTTTCGTTTTCGTTTTCGTTTTCGTTTTCGTTTTCGTTTTCGTTTTCGTTTTCGTTTTCGTTTTCGTTTTCGTTTTCGTTTTCGTTTTCGTTTTCGTTTTCGTTTTCGTTTTCGTTTTCGTTTTCGTTTTCGTTTTCGTTTTCGTTTTCGTTTTCGTTTTCGTTTTCGTTTTCGTTTTCGTTTTCGTTTTCGTTTTCGTTTTCGTTTTCGTTTTCGTTTTCGTTTTCGTTTTCGTTTTCGTTTTCGTTTTCGTTTTCGTTTTCGTTTTCGTTTTCGTTTTCGTTTTCGTTTTCGTTTTCGTTTTCGTTTTCGTTTTCGTTTTCGTTTTCGTTTTCGTTTTCGTTTTCGTTTTCGTTTTCGTTTTCGTTTTCGTTTTCGTTTTCGTTTTCGTTTTCGTTTTCGTTTTCGTTTTCGTTTTCGTTTTCGTTTTCGTTTTCGTTTTCGTTTTCGTTTTCGTTTTCGTTTTCGTTTTCGTTTTCGTTTTCGTTTTCGTTTTCGTTTTCGTTTTCGTTTTCGTTTTCGTTTTCGTTTTCGTTTTCGTTTTCGTTTTCGTTTTCGTTTTCGTTTTCGTTTTCGTTTTCGTTTTCGTTTTCGTTTTCGTTTTCGTTTTCGTTTTCGTTTTCGTTTTCGTTTTCGTTTTCGTTTTCGTTTTCGTTTTCGTTTTCGTTTTCGTTTTCGTTTTCGTTTTCGTTTTCGTTTTCGTTTTCGTTTTCGTTTTCGTTTTCGTTTTCGTTTTCGTTTTCGTTTTCGTTTTCGTTTTCGTTTTCGTTTTCGTTTTCGTTTTCGTTTTCGTTTTCGTTTTCGTTTTCGTTTTCGTTTTCGTTTTCGTTTTCGTTTTCGTTTTCGTTTTCGTTTTCGTTTTCGTTTTCGTTTTCGTTTTCGTTTTCGTTTTCGTTTTCGTTTTCGTTTTCGTTTTCGTTTTCGTTTTCGTTTTCGTTTTCGTTTTCGTTTTCGTTTTCGTTTTCGTTTTCGTTTTCGTTTTCGTTTTCGTTTTCGTTTTCGTTTTCGTTTTCGTTTTCGTTTTCGTTTTCGTTTTCGTTTTCGTTTTCGTTTTCGTTTTCGTTTTCGTTTTCGTTTTCGTTTTCGTTTTCGTTTTCGTTTTCGTTTTCGTTTTCGTTTTCGTTTTCGTTTTCGTTTTCGTTTTCGTTTTCGTTTTCGTTTTCGTTTTCGTTTTCGTTTTCGTTTTCGTTTTCGTTTTCGTTTTCGTTTTCGTTTTCGTTTTCGTTTTCGTTTTCGTTTTCGTTTTCGTTTTCGTTTTCGTTTTCGTTTTCGTTTTCGTTTTCGTTTTCGTTTTCGTTTTCGTTTTCGTTTTCGTTTTCGTTTTCGTTTTCGTTTTCGTTTTCATTTTCGTTTTCGTTTTCGTTTTCGTTTTCGGTTTCGTTTTCGTTTTCGTTTTCGTTTTCGTTTTCGTTTTCGTTTTCGTTTTCGTTTTCGTTTTCGTTTTCGTTTTCGTTTTCGTTTTCGTTTTCGTTTTCGTTTTCGTTTTCGTTTTCGTTTTCGTTTTCGTTTTCGTTTTCGTTTTCGTTTTCGTTTTCGTTTTCGTTTTCGTTTTCGTTTTCGTTTTCGTTTTCGTTTTCGTTTTTGTTTTTGTTTTTGTTTTTGTTTTTGTTTTTGTTTTTGTTTTTGTTTTTGTTTTTGTTTTTGTTTTCGTTTTCGTTTTCAAAATAAGCAAAACGAGATATATATTATTATAAGAAATATACATATATATCTTATTTTGCTACAGAGCAAAATAAGATATATAAAATAAAAAACCAATATTGTTAATTTTCCAAGCATATTGTTGTTAATTTTCCAACCAAGGTTTGTCATTTGTTTTATTTAAATTTTGTGGATCATTTGAACCAGAAAAATGGTTAGACATTTGAAAAGGAGGACGTTATCGGTTAATTAAGCCCCAGAAAATTATGGCATTGTAAAACAAAAACATCCTTTCTGTAAAGTTAAAGTTTGGCTAATATAAAAATAGGTAATTTAGCAAAGCTTGCAGAATGCAATATAAAATTTCGGCATCCCGGCTGTTATGCTTGTAATTAAAACTTTTATTTTAAAAATTAAATTTTATGTTTATAATGCGAACTTTTAACAAAATTTTTGATTAAGTTATTATATATATTACTAGGGGCCCCTGTGGTTTGCTTATAAGCAGCATTATCTGTTGTAAAAACAGGATTGTGGCAATCAATTTTAAAATAAGTTTAGAAAAATTTGTACATATTATGGCATACATATGCAGGTATATACTTGTATATGCATAAATATCATATTGGTTTGAATACTAATGATAAATAAAAGTAATGGAAATATTTTTAATTTAATAAATTTTAAGATGTAATATGTGTCACTGTTAATTACATAGATATGATTAAAATTCAATTTAAGAATTAGTTAACAATTAAGAACGAAAAATTTCCTTATAAACAACGTTATCTGTTAAAATATTTCCATCAGGACCAAGATTATGGGGAGTTGGATAAAAGAAATTTGGAGCACTGAAAATAGCTGATTTAAATATAACTCGATCATTAATAACTAATAACTCGATCATTAATAACTTGACTATTTTCATTATAGTTTCTGAATTTATAATTTAGTATATCATTTCGATTTTGCATATAATATTCATGATCCCGAGTTGAAGTCGCTTCTGTACTTTGACTTTTTCGTTCGAGAATTGCTTCACGATTTGCTGCATAATAAGATTGCATTTGAATTTTAATTTTGCTTGCTTTTTTAAATGCTTTCATATATTCTTTACGTTTGTTTTATTTGTTATCCATTTTCTAAAAAGAAAAGAATCCGCAATTGGAAATAGTACCTTTCACGTTAAACTTTAAAACCAAAGTGAATGTGAATTAATAAAAAATCAATGCCTCTTTTCTTTATACAGACCTGCAGTGTTCCCAGTCAATAAAAACAAAATGTATCCAATTTCGAGCAAAAATGTATCCAAAATGTAGCCAGCCTCCTAAAGTAGAATTATTATACTAAATCGTCTTATTTCATACCGATAAACTCGTAAATAATATTAATTTGCTTTATTCAACAATGTCAGTTTCATTATTTGTAGTAAATTCTTTTAGAAATCACACGCTATTTCTATTACATTTAAAAATTTAAGGTCAGAAAATATATGTTCTGTAGCTATTGAACTATGCGGTAAAAACGATTCAGCATGAAAACAGGCAAATTTTATTTAGTCAGCAAATAAAATTTTTTGGAAGATTTTTCACTTAAAAGTTACAGCACTTTAAAAGTTTTCTAATATTTATTTAGTGTTCGAGAAAGAAATGTATCCATATTTCAGCAAAATTTTAAAATGTAGCCAATTTTGACATTTTAGCAGTTTTGAGTATCTTTGTATCCAAGCTAAATTTTAAAGCAAAAATGTATCCAAATGGATATATATCCAAGTGGAAACGCTGCAGACCTGGCTTGGCTACTTACTCAATTGAAATTTCGCAAGCACACGAAGAATAATTGCCTTAGTACGTAACGTAACGTTATTCGTGTTCTTATATCTCTCACAATTTTTAGTTTTATTTTTTTTAATTCCATTCCATGTTAAATACAACAACAAAAAATTATTTTACTCTTACTTAACTCATTTAAAATATTTCGCTTCCTTTTGCTTTTTATTTTTGTTTATGATAGTAAAGCAAAAAAACAAAAAAAATATTACTACTCTTTTTTTATTCTCTTTCGCTTTTCGCTTTTCATTTTTTGTTTTTGTTTTACAGTATGTATAATCAATTGAGTAATGTATCTACCCAGTATTCTCTTTTGCTATTTTCATTTTTTTGTTTTTGTTATTTATTAGATTATATGTATACCTGTTCATGAACTGGAAAAATCTTGTAAAATATAATATAGATTATTATTTATTTGTATAATTACATCTGGAATATTTTTTTTTAACCTGGCATCAATTTTTCCAGACCATAGTTCGAAAATTAGTACATCGCCACCCTATGATCTTTTGCTGGAAATTAGTCAAAAATTCATGCAGAAATAATATGCAAACTTACACAAAACACCCTGTGTAGTTATAATTTACTTTTTTTGAGAAGATTGTCTTTTTTGAGGAAATTTAAGTTTTACTATCAAATATGATGTTAAAATTTGATTCTTACCTGCAATTGAATCCTTCTCTGGTATGGGGACGGCTAATAATATTCCTGATTTGGATTCAATTTTCAACAGAGAATGTATAAACTCAGCTGCCTCTTCACTATTTTCCATATTGTAGGGTGCCTTACAGCCACTTTTACGAGTATAAAACGCTGGAAATTCAAAGTCTGGGACTTGATAAGTAGCAACACAAACCCCATGAGTTTCCAGGAATTCTAAAGTTTTCTGAATATCCAAAATCGACTTGACCCCACTACAAATAACAGCCATTGGGCTTTTCCCTAATTCGATTAAATCTGCCGATATATCAAAAGTGTTTTGGCCATCACGATGCACTCCACCTATTCATGTAAAATAATACTGCTTATAAATTTAATAAAATTTTATAGTCTCCTTATAGAATTTTTGTAAGCATTAAAACCAATGAGAATCATTATTTTGATTGCAATTGCAAATAAGTATACAAATTGATTCAGCAATAAGTTAGGAGTCATATCCCATCGGGATACAGTATCGATAATTTGTTTGCTGAACATGGTGTCAAATCGGAACCGTTTCGGAGCCTGAGGAGTTTTAAGATCATTTAACATACCCAAGTTTTTTTACTTAAAACTTTCGTTAGAAAAAGATAAAGACTACAAACAAACAGTTTCCAGTTTAAAAAGTTATAACAGGGCTTAATACAAAGAATAGTACGTTCTCTGGTTTTACATATTTTTCGGGAATACAAGCATTTGAACTTTATGAAAATTCTAATTTTACTATATGTCATACTATAGAACAGGTTTCGTTCCGGAACTTTATTAAAAATTTACCCACGAGTTTGGGGTCCGGAAGAGTACTTGCAGCAAAAAATTAAATGTATTCACTTACTAATAAAATCGAATGTATTCAAGCGAAATGTCGTAGAATTAATATGTGATATGTTAAGAAACAAATATTTATTGCGGAACTTTTTTGAATATCGACTCTCTAAAAAAATTTCAAGTACAAAAGATATCAATCAAGTACAAAAGATATATTTACATGTGGTATGTTATAGAAAATCTCCAAAAATTTGATAATTTTCTCGATATATAAAGTTTGTTTTTTAGGTGTATGGAAAGAAAAGTCCTCGTTATTCGGGATAAAATATATTAGCAAATAATATACATACTATATATTTGCACGAAATATAGTAGCAAAAAAAAAAACAAAAGAAAATCAGCTTTGGTAAAGTACCTATACAAGATTTTTAAGTTGCTAACTTTTCAAATTTATTTTATGATGAAAATCAGTTGCTTCAACACTTCTCGTCTGTAGTACCTAAAAATGTGTAAGAAATAAGGACTCGTGCCAAGTTCTTAGTCGCTAGATCTTTTTGATTATTAACAACTGAAGACTAGATCGAATTAGAAGTCGATTTTAAACAAGAATATAAGGACTTTATTGAATTGGCAATGCGATTGAACCAGTATTGAAATGGAAATAACCATGTACCAGTATACAAAATGGAAATAACTATGTTCACTTGACTCTTTTGAACAGACAAACAGTTAGCAAAAACTATTAAGAGAATCTAAATCATTTGAAAAACTCAAATTTTTTTAAAAATTCCAATTTTTTTAAAGGTTGAATAGCCTATTTCTAAACATAAACCGCGCACGTACATCTAAAGCTATCATCATACTTAACACAGCTTAAGTAATAGTCTATACTTTCATCAATGTAATAAACTAATAAAAAGAAGAACCTCTACCGTCTAAACCAGAAAAAAAGCTAAATAGTAAACAATTTTTTTATAATAAAATCTACACGCTGTTAAAGATTAACCATATATCCAAAATAATAAAGAATTTTTGAGATCATCGAAAGTTCAATAGCTTAATTGATCAAAAGCTCTTAATCAATTTGAATTTTTTTATTATTAAGAAAAATAATTTTTTTTTTTATTGTAAGGCTATTTTTAGCACTTTTCCAAAAAATTTTTGAAAAAAAGTGCTTATTAGTTTCACTCTGTCCGTCCGTCCGTCCGTTCGTCCGACCGTCCGTCTGTCCGTCCGTCCGTCCGTCCGTCCGTCCGTCCGTCCGTCCGTCTGTCCGTGTGTCTGTTTACAAAACTTCTACACCCTTGAAGATAGAAAGCTGAAATTTTGTATGTACATAGATATTTACTATAAACTTATTTCCGTAGAACAAAATTTTTACCTATCTCCCCCCTCTAGAAGTTATACCCCCCCAAAACCCTAAAAATGGCCTTTTTTAACTATTTGTTGCAATGAAACCATAAGCATTTTTAAAATTTTGCAAACGCATAAAGGCAGCGGCTTGCTTCCCCTAGTGCGATATACTATAGTTAAACTTTAGAAAAACAAAATGGCCGTTCAAATTTACCGTTATCTAAAGTCTTTTTTTTCCAAATTTTTGATTTCGTTTTTCTTCTAGACCCCAGCCTGTAGAAGCTTGAAATTTTAGGGGCTTATAGACATTAACAAATAGTTCATTTCGTTAGAAGAATTTTTTTCCACCTCCACCCACTCTCAAGTTATCGCCTCTTGAAATTTGTAAAATTTGAATTTTTGGCACCTTAAATTTTCAAAATCGCAAACGTTTTCAAATTTCTATAAACATAAAAAGTTAGCGGTAAATTGCTTAACATTAAAAAATATAATTATTTTTCTTAACTCACACAATTAACCCTTAAAATCGAGCATTATGTTAACCCCTCTTTATATTAATTTTTGCTTAATTTCAAAGACTGCATGAATGCATCATCCTAAATATATGCAATCCTAGAAATAGTTAAATATGAATGAAAATAATTTTAATAGTGTGATAGGTATGCATAGACTGTATTTAAAAGCAGAATTTTCACTTGTTGAAGGGAAAAGTGCTACAATACAAACCATTGGTTTGACCCAACTTTATTTTTCTTATTTTAATATTACTTATTTCAAACCTTTATAATATTCCAACATTAAAACTATTTATTACAGAACACAGCTTATTATAATTTTGCTCTTATAACAAACATAATTCAAAGCAATTTATTAATTTTACTTGTTAATCGACCCTAGGCATTCAGTTATTTAGTTTATTACTGTTTATCATTTTAGTTTATTACTGTTTATCAGGTAAGTTAATCACGAAACAATATAAGGATAATATAATATAAAGAAAATTACAGATTGTGTGGCAATCTAAATTTTAGGAACAAAAATATGATTAAGCTTGGGTTTGGAACGGGAATTGAGGAGTACAATCGTCGTTCCAACTAAAACTAATACAGAAAATACGAATAACACTTAATTAAATTATTTAGTTAATAATTTTTATACTGGTGAATACATAGGTATGATCGGCACAATTGGAGGTCGATCATGTAAAATACATATACAACTATTGATAACGTTAATCAATATGTTGACGAAGAATATTTGGAGGAATTTAAAGAAGCTGAAATAATTATAACGAAGGCATTTTAGCTACTGAAGTGTTTTTTAAAACTCATGAAGGTAAAATGAAATATGGAAAAAGATCGCATAATAAGAAGTTTGAAATCCAGGCGTTGTTATACCAATTGATAGCTAATATTTAATAAAATTAAATAGGATGAAACTTTCATTTTAAAAGGAGGTGAGCAGCATTTAATGTATTCAAGTTTTATGAGCTCTGTCGATATCGCTTATTAAAAAATTGTATTCAACATATTATGCAATAAATTTTAATTCATTTTCAAATTCTTTCGTTCTGTAAACAGGCAATTCTTGGAATGATAATGATTTAAGTAAAACAATAATATTTGTACTGAATTATAATACAACTAAATATATATTTTGTTATGATGGCACCGTGAATATATGCTTACTTTATTTTATAGATTTATAAATTAGTTTATATATTTAAAAAACAATACGAAATAACGTATTACAAAACAAAATGAAATTTGTTTACGCTCTGGTGGTTAAAGAGGCAAAAGAGTTCTAAAAAAAGTAAGTAATTACAGAGCAACCAGAATCCCCAAAAGTATAAAAACTATGAAAAAAAACGATTTCAAAACTTTAAACCTCATTTACTCAAAACTGAGCAAATCTTGTTATAAGGGCGCGCAATATTTATTTTTGTTTTTCCTATGCTATTTTCGTTTAACAAGTATTTATTGTTAACCATTGGAATATAATTAGATAAAGATTGTACAAATTTAATATTTATCTAACCGATTGAAAAAAAAATATGATTTAAAAAATTTAATAAAAAAAAGTTCAAAAAAAGTAGTGATTTATTAAAAAAGAATAGTGTGTCATTTTAGAAATTAATTAAAAGGTTATTGAGGAAATAAAACAAAATAAAAGAAATAGAGTTGGGTCAAACCAATGGTTTGTATTGTAGCACTTTTCCCTTCAACAAGTGAAAATTCTTCTTTTAAATACAGTCTATGTATACCTTTCACACTATTAAAATTTATTTTCACTCATATATAAAACTATTTTAGGATTGCATATATTTAGGATGACGCATTTATGAAGTCTTTGAAATAAAGCAAAAATTAATATAAAAAGGGGTTAACATAATGTTCGATTTTAAGGGTTAATTGTGTGAGTTAAAAAAAATAATTATATTTTTTAATTTCATGGAATTTACCATTAGCTTTCTGCGTTTATAAAAATTTGAAAAAGCTTGCGGTTTCGGAAATATAAGGTGTCAAAAATTCAAATTTTACGAATTTCAAGAGGTGATAACTTGAGAGGGAGTGGAGATGGAAAAAAATTTTCTTCTAACAAAATGAACTATTTGTTAATGTCTAAAAGCTCCTAAAATTTCAAGCTTCTACAGGCTGGGGTCTAGAAGAAAAACGACATCAAAAATTTGGAAAAAAAGGACTTTAGATAACGGTAAATTTGAAAGGCCATTTTGTTTTTCTAAAGTTTAACTATAGTATATCGCGTTAGGGAAAGCAAGCCACTGCCTTTCTGCGTTTGAAAAATTTCAAAAATGCTTATGGTTTCATTGCAACAAATATTTAAAAAAGGACATTTTTAGGGTTTTGGGGGTGTATAACTTCTAGAGAGGGGGAGATAGGGAAAAATTTTGTTCTACGGAAATAAGTTTCTAGTGAAGATCTATGTACGTATGAAATAGCTTTCTATCTTCAAGGATGTAGGAGTTTTGTAAACAAAAAAAGTGTCCACGGACGGACAGACAGAGTGAAACTAATAAGCACTTTTTTCAAAAAATTTTTTGGAAAAGTGCTAAAAACAATGTCAAATTTATTGGAAAATATTGCGAGGTTGTAGTAACTTCCTTAATCTTCCAGAAGTGGAAATATTTTGTTTAAATGAGAAACATTTTACGTTATGTAGTC